AAGGTCGGACGACGGGACCTGTTAGGGCCAATACTTATGCGTTCATCGTTTCTCCTCAAGTGGGAGAAAAAAATTGCTTTTACATTCTTTCAAGTTTGTTTCCGCGGTTTCTGGATCGCTTTTGGTGACAACTAAACGTGACCGCGGAACGGAAGCAACAACAGCGGTCCGAAATCTAAGCAGTAAATATCACAACCTGGAGAACTGGAGGGAGCTTTGGCTTGTAGGTGGTGCGCAGCTTCTGCAGGTCGCTCATGTTCTCCACCTCGAGACCCATGCTGGCCGATGAGTTATAAAACGGATTAAGAGGGAATGTCAAGAGTTAAGACGCGACTCTCGAAAGCTAAGGCTTCGCAAGACTACAAGCTCGGCGAATAGATGTGGCTAAACGGTGAGATGCGAAATGAATGCTCCCAAAATACAATGGCGCATGAGCAGAGGATGGATGCGCAGGAAAAGAATTCCGGTGAGTCTTTGGAATCTCCCTGGACAAAGGTATGCGGGGGGGAAGGATGGGAAGAGGGAATTCAGGAGATGCTCAGCGGGGAAGGATGTTAGGCAGGAGGAGGAGATTCCGGAGGAATTCCCGCAGTGCAGCGAGTCAATCTGTCGTCAGCGTAGTCACCCTTTTGAAAAGTTTTAGCTGGTGATCCTGAACCTTTTGTTCCCAAGCTAACTTACGTTTATGATAACTGGGCATAAACCTCTCCCTAGGTGGTTGTAATTTGTTCGGCTGTTCCCCTCGGCCGGGACTACTTAGAGGGGTACTTTGAATGATTCAGATGACAGCACGAAAAGTAACCCTCCTCCGACGTGGAATCCAGTGCTGCTCTCATTTCTTTGCGCCCCTGCCACAGCGGATAGTGCGGCTAGGTGACCGTGTGCTGGTTCGCAGGGGACGCTGCTGACGAGGCCAAGATACCAAATAATATGGAAATCTCCAAAGCCGCTGCGCTTTCCCGCTTGTTCCCAGGAACGCAGCAGCCACGTCAGAAAGTATCCTTCAAAGAAACCGTACTTGTATAGAAGTTTTCACCTAGAATATCGCCGCCCTAGCTCAGTCGGTAGAGCGCAAGGCTCTTAACCTTGTGGTCGTGGGTTCGAGCCCCACGGGCGGCGTTTTATCGTATGCGTTGTTGCACTTGCCAGTCTCCCTAAGAAGAAATCAATGCTTTTTTCCGAAGGCTGTATGATGGTCCGTTTGCCATGGTCCATACAAACACAAAAACGTCTTATCCCGAGAGTAAACAGTGGCCAGAAACATGGGCATAGACAACGTTTGCTAGCAACGGACTCCCAGTTGGTGTACAAATGACGTACTCAACATAATGCTTGCGTGGAATAATTGCTAGGGCAACTAGTAGCTGCTCAACCTCCTTGTAATCCTGTTCATTGAGAAGGACTCTGCCCTCATCCCACCCCCCTGCCCTCCCTATCCCCTGCCACCAACCTCCTCATGATCACGAACGCGGTTCGACCCAACGTGCAATCCCCGGATTATTCTGATTCTCGTGAACGTAGGGAAAAAAAGGTTTCCCATGAGAAATCAGAAACGAGAAGATAATTAACTTCAAGAGAAGGTTTCCGCGAGTAGCATCGAAGGGAGCGCGGAAAGGCCTCAACGGTCGTGTCGCCCTCACGTCGACCCAATTCGCGTCTCGACCGGGATAGGTCGGAGCCTTCCGCCTTACCCTAGATCCACTTATGACGTGGGCCTCCCTGATTCGCTACGACTATTAGCACGCACGTTACTTATTTTAACCTACTTCTAGTAGCCGCCGCGGATAGTTTTCCAGTTCTGGGGTGGCAGAGGCGTGCCATTGAGGAGTAACTCGGAGGGAGAAGAAGCATCAGTGGGTTAGGATGTCGTTACTATCATCATCTCTTTAGTGAACGGCAGTATTCGGAAAAAGGAAAACATCCGCTAAAACATAATAACTACAAGGCAAAGAAATAGGCCGAGGGAAACGCTGAGATTATGGCCAAGGAACAAGGTTGCAACAGAACCTTAGAATCACCACCGTGTGTCACAAAACGCGCCCCATTGATTTGTTCTCGCTGAATTTGCGGGCCTGCGAAATGCCAGAAACAGCTAGCAACGATAATCATATGTGTGTGTTACCACCTGCGAAAACTGGGTTGGTGTGGTTCGTCAAGCGAGCTGAGTTACCAGCCATGCCGCGAAGGACAAGCATGCGGGAGGTTCTGGGGTTGCGAAGCCACAATAATTGTTGAGCCTCTCCCTTTGGCTGTATCCGAGATTGACACACTTCGCTTGAAATTATTGTTCACGGCAAATCCCCGAGAATGACGGAACGGAATGGCATCGCACCGCTCCCCTCGCCGAAACAATTATCGTTGTGCCAAGCCAATCACCTTCACAACCTTCGACTCACGGAGGAGAACTTCTGCCGCCATCGCAGTTTGCCAAGAGAACAAAATTATGGGCAAAGATCAAACTGGGGCCGAACATTAGCAGAGAAGTGACCAAATTAGGGCCGGGTAAATCCCAACCGTTGGATATACCCCCGGGGCTGCCCAGGTGGCTGGGCCTAGGTTCCGAACCGAGACCTAAAGGAAATTTAAAAGTATCGACTGTTTTCGTTCAGTGATTTGTTGTAGAATAAAGATCGCCGCCTATTACGAAGCTCGCGTCGAATTCCTCTGGGGGTGGTTTCGTAGTGTTCATATTTTTTTAGAACAGCAGTACATGTTTTTTTTTTACATTTTACATCACTTTTTCTGACAAAAAACCCAATCGGAAACGGATGCGACTCGGGGAGGCATCAACCCTAAACTCCAGGGAGGTTCCCGTGTTTAGGGTTGATCCCTCCCGAGAATGCTTCCAGGTTTCCTAGGGGTTTTAGTTTTTTCTAGTCTGCCCTAACAGTTCCCGGTTGCGTCGTCTAGTGCTTGGTAGCGCAAACGAGTGGAAATTACTGAGTTGTTTCGACAAAAATCGAAAAGTTTACTCTCCGTCAGCTACGACGCGCGGGGCGGTGAGGATCTCTGACAAGTGAAATCACATACGCGAGCATGGGAAAGTCGGTTGTTAACCCCAAAAATTCAGGTTCGGCTATCCGGCCCTGCTAATGTTCGGCCCCAATATGATCTTCTCCCAAAATTATCGTTGAACTCCATGAGGGCGACTCGAGCCGCTATTTGCGTTGAACCCTGCGAGTCCCGCTCCCCAACTTACGCAACTATATAAATCGCCTGCAACTTGACCCTATCATCATCGAAATCGACCACGCCCTCCAAACATTCAGTGTCTTAGTGTCTGATAATCCAGCTGGCTTGCTTTTATAAGTTTCAGACTCGGAAATATTTCCCGCTTGCCTCGTTTGGATCTCAGATTCCGGCTGCTTTTGATCACGGCAAAAAGCTCCCGCAAGCTCTCAGCAGTTCTTCCCTCTTCTTTTCTCCGATGGCTCGAGTTTTCAAGGTCGGCGGCTTATTGTGCGTCGGAATCGTTCTGCTCGCTCTCGCCCTCACTCCGGCTGACGCCATGTACGCCACGTCCGCCGATCTGAACCGCGAAGGCACGTGCTACCGCGGCCAATTCGACTACGGCGAGAGTTCAGACTTCGACTACGGCATGGTAGCGCAGGTGCCTTCGGGCGATTTCAACAGCGGCAAGGGCTGCGGAAGGTGCTACGAAGTTTCTTGCATCAACCACGCGAGCTGCTTGGAGGGCAGCGTGTTGGTCCGAGCGGTCGGCCAAAACGGCGATTTCAATCTCAACTTCGCCGCGTGGGACAGAATCGTCGGCGACCGGGCCGCGGGGCGCGTGGAGATCGACTACCGCAGCGTGGACTGCCCTAACAACGGCGGACTGAAGGTCAGGCTCGTGGACGATAGCAACGCGTACAACTTCGCGCTTCAGATTCTCGGCGCGGCGGGGAGCGGCGGTGTGGAGAACGTTGAGCTGTCGAACGACGGGTCGCAGTGGTCGAGCATGACGACGTACGGATGGGGCGCCACGTGGGTGCTCAATCCCGCCAAGGACGTCGTCGATTCGGGGCGCCCCGTGAGCGTGCGCGTGACGAGCGGCGGGCAGCAGGTGGTGTTGCAAGACGTGATTCCGAGCGGATGGAGTGCTGGAACGACCTACGAGAGCAGCACCAACTTCTAATGCGAGTTGTCGCGAGTTGTCGCCAAGTTGTCGCGAGTTGCTGCTAATAACGGGACGCCCTGTAACGAGGTGGTGCCGCGCACGAGAATGCTTGGAGATGATGCAGCTACCGTGGCATGGTGGCGCGCAAGGTAGCGGAATAAAAGTCCGGCCAGCCCCCTGTGGAGGTAGATTGGCTGAGGCTTTATCAGCCTTATAGGGTGATCCGATAAAATGTTAGAAGTAATTGCTCATTCCGTTAGTATTTTGCTAGAAAGCCGTACTTTTTGCTAGGTTCCACTGTCATACTTCAACAAATTTCAGTCAAATGCAAGAGGTACACTACACGCACATAGAAAAGTGAATACATCTTCAGGTATGACAAGCGAATGAAGATATAAATAAAATTATATTTCCTGAAGCGAAGAAATGCTTTACACTATGCAAAACTGTATGTTGTTGAGAGACTTCTACTGGCACTGCTTTGGTCTGTGGAAAACATGAACATGCACTTCCACTCCACTGTCTCTCGGTATATCAGCCGGCAATCATCTGCTTTCCCTAACATCACTAACTACTATGTTGAATCCCCTCAATTCGAGCCAGCTCCAGGCTACAATCAGCCGGTCCTCTCAATCTCATGACAATCCTCACAGCCATGCGGTCCTCGTCTTCCCCGTAGAACTCCTCCTTAAGCAGCAGCAGCTCCTTTTTCTCAAGGCGACTCAAGAGTTTCAAATCCCCTCAATACGAGCAAGCTCCAGGCTGAAATCAACCTGCTCAGCGCTCTCGATCTCATGGTCTATCCTCACAGCCATGAGGTCCTCGCCCTCCCCGTAGAACTCCTCCTTGAGCAGCAGAGCAGCAGCCTTTTTCTCGAGTCGACTCAAGAGAGTTGGATCCCCTCAATCCGAGCCAGCTCTAGACTGAAATCAACCTCCCCGCTCTCAATCTCGTGGTCGATGCGGGCAGCCATGCGGTCCTCATCCTCCCCGTAGAACTCCTCCTTGAGCAGCAGCAGCTCTGCCAGCACGCGGCTCATGCCCGGGCGAGACGCCGTGGGCATGGCGGTGCAGGAGAGTGCCAGGCGTGCCATGCGCAGCACGAGGTCGTCCGGTGCTTGCAGTTGCGGGTCCTTTAGTCCCGCCACGTCCCCTGCTGCCACCAGCGATGCTGCCTGTGAGTTATGGATGGGGGCAAGAAAGGGAAAGGAGGAGGGGGGAAAGGAAATGAAGGGAGAATTTAATGGCAAGAAAGAAGGGATGTGGAAAGAGACTGTATGGAAAGCAGGATAAGCATTTTGATACGAGGACAATGGGTGTTGACTCACCCACTGCTTGAGGTTGACTTGGTTTGACTCGATGTTGTAGACGGCCTTGCGAGCCGTGATCACCGCCAGCATCACCACTCCGAAGCTGCAGACAGGTGGGGGGAGGAGAAATGCAGTGAGGACGGACAGGCAGGCGGCAGAGTGGGAGAGAAGGTGAGCAAAGAAAGGCAGCAATGCAAGCAACAAGTAAGGGAAGAAGAACATCAGAGTAGCGAGTTTCATTATCTCGTGCCACCAAGTGCCAGACTGGTTGGTGTTGGTGTGGGAGCTTCCTGAAATGCCATGCATGATTTCCCTAGATCAAATGCCAGGCTATTAAGGAACAATAGTGGAAAGCTGCCAACACATGCGCACGGAATCAGCACATCATTCACACCTGTGCACGTCCGCCTTGGGAGTGGCCTTGTGAGAGCGGTAGTAAGCAGGGTCCACATAGCCAGGCGTGCCCATGACATGTGTCTTTGAGAGTTCTAAAAAGCTCATAAGCACCAATACCATCCGCACCTGTGCACGTCCGCCTTGGGTGTGGCCTTGTGGGAGCGGTAGTAAGCAGGGTCCACATAGCCAGGCGTGCCCATGACTCGGGTAGCCGCCACAGATGTACCTTCCCCAAGTCGCACCAGCCCAAAGTCAGCGAGCTTGGCGTGCATGCGTGCGTCCAACAGCACGTTGGCGGGCTTGATGTCGCGATGCACGATGCTGAAGCTGTGCAGGTACTCCAGCCCGCGTGCCATGCCTGTCAGGATACCTAGGCGTTGCTGCATCGTGAGTGGGTGTGGTGCATCTGGGAAGAGAGGATACGGCAGTGGGGTTTTGGGCAGCTGGGTGAGTCTATGAATGGAACAATAGCCTCATGTTGCAACGCATAGGAGCCCTCGAAAGTCAGCGAGCTTGGCATGCATGCGCGCGTCCAGCAGAACGTTGGCGGGCTTGATGTCGCGATGCACGATGCCAAAGCTGTGCAGATACTCCAATCCGCGCGCCATGCCTGTCAGGATGCCCAGCCGCTGCTGCATCGTGAGATGGTGGGGTGCATCTGGGAGGAGAAATGGCAGTTGGGAGTTGGGTAGCTTTTTAAAATTGAGGCGGTAGCAAGGGATTAGGCCATGCGTTTGTAATACACAGAAACTATGAGAAATGCAGAAACAACCGGATGCTCAAGGCGAGACACTATTTTGAACCCCTTTCTATTTGTCGACTAAACAGTCATGATTTGCATCTGAGTTACTGTTACACAACCAACCACCTGCCTTGTGCAGAAGAACAAACCATGTTGGCTCACCGGGTCCAATCCAGCGGTCGAGGTCACCGTTGGCCATGAACTCATACACCACGATCTGCTCCATGCGCTCCGCCTCGTAGCTCATGTCAAAGCAGTACCCCAGCAGCCGCACCAGGTTCGGGTGGCTCTTTGTTGCCATCTCGTTGATCTGCAGGGTGACGGTGAGGTGGGTGGGATGAATCAGGTTGGGAAGCAGCAGGCCAGTTCCTGCACCAGGTTCGGATGTCTCTTGGTCGCCATCTCGTTTAGCTGCAGGGGGTGGAGGGGGAAGAGAGGAGGCAGGCCGGTTCCTAGGATTTCTCAAAGCCAACTACCCCAGCAGGTTAGGGAGCAGCCGCAACAGGTTCGGATGGCTCTTGGTCGCCATCTCTCTGATCTGCAGGGGGGTGGGAGAGGGAATGGAGGAAGCAGGGCAGGTGGGAAACAGGCCGGTTTCTGGGAAACAGGCCGGTGTCGCCATCTAGTTGATCTGCAGGGCCGTGTTTTGGGAGAAAGCAGGTTCGGGGTAAGCAGGATGGGGGAAAGGAAGAAGGTTGGGGAAGGCAGTTTGGGGGAAGCAAGTGGGGGGAAGCAGGTTCGGGGGAAGCAAGTTGGGGGGAAGCAGGTTGGGGGGAAGCAGGTTGGGGGGAAGCAGGTTGGGGGGAAGCAAGTTGCGGGAAAGCAGGTTTGGGGGAAGGAGGTTGGGAATAATTAGGTTGAGGGGGAACTGGTTCGGGCAAATGAAAACACTCCACAGCAACGACCCTAGCTGGCAACGACACCTAGCTCAAACCTCATAAACCATAGTTAATACCAAGCGAATGCAACACATGGCAGGGCGCCTTACCTCTCGTCTGAAGTCGTTAGTGAGCACGCGAGCTCGCTTCACAGCCCACACCTCCTTGGGGTTCCGCGGATTCACCCCCCTGTACACGTCGCCAAAGCTGCCGCTGCCTATGCGGTTGCTCTCCGCCCACCCCTCCGTGGCACGAGCCATCTCCTCCAGGGAGAATCGCTGGCATACATCTGGCCCAGCACCCACTGCAGCACACAGCAGTGGCTCTGCTGCTGGCTCTGGTGGCGTTGCTGCCACTGCCACTGCAGCAGCTGCAGCAGCGGCTGCTGCTGCTTCTTCTGTTGCTGCCCCCACTGCTGCTGGTGCTGCTGACGGCCGTGCTTGGGGCAACGATTTGCTTGTACACCTCTCAACTCCTGCTTGAGCCACCTTTGAAGCTGATGCTGCCGCTGCTGCTCTTTTCGCTGCCATTGTTGATGCCGAGGGTATGTCAACAACTACATGCCGTGGGACCACTCCACCTGCTGCTGCCGCCGCCGCTGCTGCTGCTGTTGGTGCTACTGCTGCTGCGGGTCGTGCTGCTGGTGTTGCTGCTGTGTTTCCATTAGCTGCCACTGCTCTGGGTACTGATGTGATTCTTTTTGGCGGCAGCTTGACCGGTGGCGGTGTGGCACGTGGCAAATGACACTCCTTGGATGGTGGCGAAAACTTGGGAGGTCTCCCTGCAGACCCCGCAGGCATCGGCACGGGAACCACGTGTCCACCCTCGCTTGCAAGATCGAAGAAAACCACCAAGCCAGCCCACATCTTTTTTAGTGCGTCGGAGAAAGCAGCCAGCACAAGCAATAGCAGGGCGACACCAGCTGCAGTCCCTGCCACAATGGCTATGACACTGTCCATATACATTTCAACCTGATAAACTGCCTCGAGCAGGGTCTTTGTTGCTGCTGGCCAGATGGAAGCCACTAATGATATCCGCTGCCGAGGAAGTTCCTGTCACCAGGCAGAGCTAACGCTTCGGTTATCCGAAGACGCTTTCAAGGGTGACATGTGACCCGCACGTACCGATATGAAGAGTTGGTGGGGAATAGGGCATTGCTGCTGAGGATATAACAACTTGTTATACCAAAGGAGATTAACATCCAGATAATGTCAGAGTAGGCGTCTGGTCAGCAAATGATATACCGTGGGACGTAATTTTGAGGGTCTCAATGGAGCGCGTTGGATATATAGTAGATAGCATGTCGTTCGGAACTAGGGTTAACCCTAAAGTAGGGTAACTTACTTTCTGAGCTCTTCTTTCAGTTCGAAAGGCTCTCTGAATCGTTGAAAGCGGCATGTCCGAAGCAAAAAATCGAAGCACAGAAGGCTCCAGAACTACTTTGCAGCTAAATAAGAGAGCTAGATGAATAGTATCTGTATGGCGTAGAGCGCTCGTCAGCTACTAGTAAGGAAGGAAGATCAAGAATGAACAGAAGTTGAACGACATTCAGTTCAGGCATTGAGATGGGATGAGCGGAAGTCCCCATCAGTTGGTGGGGGCGGGCAACGTAGAAGGGTGGGCGAAAAGGGCGAAACTGGGAAACACAAATTCGCAAACAGAAAACCGGATATTTACGAAAATAATTAGAGCTACAAGTTACCAGGCAAGTAGGCTTGCCCTACCCTTCGGTGCAAAGCCAGCTGTGAGAAAGAATTGGTGGGGAGGGATTGAACTTGATGTCGATGAGCTGGCATGATGATGACAATGTTGGAATGCAGGCGACGAGCTTGACGGCGAAGATACAGTTATCGAGACCCACATTGACTAAATTGTACACAACATAAACAAGAACGGGTATGTGTACAGACCTCGTCTTGAAAGCCTAGTTCATTATATTAACCAAAAGGTGCCTCAGCTAGAAAATGTAATGCCGGGCTAGTTTACCCCCGATAACAACAGCGAATTCCGTTCCGTCAAACCATGTAAAACATAATAAGCATAAACTTTGTTGCACAGCTGCTGCTTTATCGGCACAATGACTTAATGTCTAAATACACATTTGTTAGAATGAGAAGAGTATGTGTGATTAGGTGGAGGTTGGGGTACAAGACTAGAGTGTCGAGTGAGTTTCTGTACCCCTTAAGGCTAGCCCCAATATAGCCTAGATACTAACATGCATATGTTTTGACACACCCCCATAGGCGAAATGGGGGATAGCCAGAGCAAGCAATGGTCACAAGACCAGTCAAGAGAAGAAACAAAACACGGCTCAGGGTGGATCACAACGTCACCACACACACTGAGCACAAACAAACGGCCACAAGGCCAGTCCACATGTAGAGGTATATAAGCAGCAAGAACAGCACAGTGATCTCTACCTAGCAATGCAAACATGCACGTATATATATATATATATATATATATATATATATATATATATATATATATATATATATATATATATATATATATATATATATATATATATATATATAGATCACAGTACAAGCAAGGCCTACAGCAAGTGAGGAAATGTGGGCACAAGCCCTAGCAAAGTGCAGAAACGCTGATGATCACCAGACGGAAGCGCCTTATAAATATATCAGCAGTGTTGGCCCGAGTGGCCACGTGACGCAGACGAAGCTGACCACGCTGCTGCAGCTCTCGAGCCAGGAAGTAACGCAGAGCGATGTGCTTTGTTCTGTGCTCCAGTCTGTGCTCCTCACACAAGGCAATGGCGGCCTTGTTGTCGACGTACAGCACTGGAGGAGAACGAGGCTGCTCTCCCAAGTCAGTCAGCAGGTAGGTGAGCCAGCGCAACTCCTGTGCAGCCATGGCTGTGGCGTAGATCTCAGCCTCACAACTGGAGCTGAGAACTGAAGACGAGCGTGTAGAACGCCACGAAACTGAACCAGAGCCAAGGCTGAAGGTGTAACCCTGTGACGACCGCTGAGTAGCCTGGTCGTCAACCCAAGAAGCGTCTGAGTGCCCAGTGAGAACAACTGGGATCGTTCCCCCTCCAAGCACTAGCCCCATGCCTGATGTGCTGCACAAGTAGCGCAGTACCCTCTTAGCAGCAGCCATGTGCTCAGGTCGGTGCCGACCAGGAGCCACGTAGCGAGCCAGAAGACCAAGAGGGTACGCGAGGTCAGGACGAGTGCAAGTCATCAGGTACATGAGGCAGCCAACTAGCTCTGGGTAAGGACCACTCGGCTCTACGGACTCGTCCGAAGGTGGAGCTGAGAGCGAATGACCTGTAGCCAGAGGAGTGGCCTGTGCTGAGGACCAGGTGAAGCCGAAGCGCTGAAGGACCTGCTGCACCATGTGTGACTGAGTCAGGGTGATGGTGCGGCGTGCTCTGTCTCGGGTGATCTGCAAGCCAAGGTAGCTGCGCAGCTCACCCAAGTCTGTGCACGTGTGTCTCTTCTGCAGCTCCGACTTCACGTGGGCGAGAGCCTCAGTGTCCGCAGTGGCAAACACCAAGTCGTCGACGTACACGAGGATGTAGAACGGCGGCAGTGAAGTGTCGGTGCGCAGAAACAGCGACGGGTCAGCTGTGGAGGGAGCAAACCCAAGTGCCGCAAGTGTAGTCCTCAGTGTGTCGTGCCACTCACGAGGCGCCTGGCGGAGACCGTAGACTGGCCGCCGGAGGCTCCACTGGGTACCAGGAGGGAACGACCCAGTGAAGCCCAGGGGGCGGCGCAGCCAGATCTCCTCGTGCAGGCTGCCCTGCAAGAAAGCTGTGCTGAAGTCAAGAGAGTGAAGCTCGTAGTCACGGTGAGCGGCAACGTGCAGCAGCACCTGAAGAGTGGTCATCTTCGGGGTGGGGGAGAAGGTCTGGAAGAAGTCTACTCCCTCTCGCTGACTGAAGCCTCGAGCAACGTAACGAGCCTTGAAGACAGGCGGAGAACCTGGCGGCCGCTTCACCCTGAAAATCCACATGCCACTGACGATGTTCGCCCCAGGAGGGGGAACC